AATGGAATTCCATCCATCACAAGCTTGTCCTTGTCCGATTCCGAGAATGCGAACTTCTCTTTGGCGACTGGACTAACTTGACTTGGGGACCGTATTTCAGGGGATCGTACCTCACCTCCTACGGAAAATGCAGGCACTACTTCCTTTCCTACGTGCTCCCAGCCAGACTCAGTAGTCCTTGAAGACATGGGCATGCTTGAAGGCCGTGTCGCTCCTCCATAATTGGAGTTTCGCGCCGCCTCCAATTCGCTGCGTGTCCTCGCTTGAAGATCTTCTTGTGCTTTGAGCGTTTTTCTGAGTTCACTCAGCTCGTCGTGCAAGGTAGGCAATGCTCGCCTTGCATGATCTTCATTCTGATGAAGTCGGTCCTCTGCATCTTGCATCCTCCTCACAGCCATTTTGCGGTACTCTTCCTCTTCACCAAGACGTTCGCGAAGCCGAAGTCGTTCTTGATCAATGGCTGCGCTGTTTCCAGCTATCCCTTGGATCTCGTTCACGGCCCGCAACTCCTGGTTCTTGACCAAGTGGAATCGTTCCTGCATTGCTTGTAAGGCTTGTTCCGAACTTGCTGTGTTCGAACGGAGGAACAGGTTCTCTCTGGCATGTTCATGAAGTTCATGAGTCAGACGCTCATACTCACGTGCCATAAGCTCACCATCGCCTTGCGCTCTTGCCTCCAACTGCACAAAGTTAGTGGCTGCCGCCGTGCGGAACACGTGTAGCTGTTGAGCTAACTCCTCGGCAACGGCATGTGCTTGACGTTGTTGAGCAGAGTTCTGTTCATCCATGCGAAACAAAGCTGTTTCATAGTCTCGTTTCATCTCCTGATTGACATTGTTGATGTGCCTCATGGCTAAGCATGCATGGTCACGTTGTCGTTCCAATTCTTCAATGCGAATTCCAGATCCTTCATCTTCTTGTTGCATCTCCTTGATCTTGTCCATCAGGGTCTGAACAACTCCTTCGTACTCTTGCATCTGACTGCGATAGTACATCTGCTGCGCAAGGTTCGATGCTTCGAGCTGTTGCGAAATCGTCAGTTCCTGATAGGCATTCGGACCATCGGCTATGGCTGGCGTGGTCACCGATGACGCATCACCACGTGCTGGGATAGTGTCCAGAGTCATATCCAGATCGTCAGCATCACGTGGTTGATTGGTAACCATCCGATTCCAAGTCATGGATTTGTCACGCCCACGAGTAGCCGAAGTCCTCGATCGTGCTGAAGAGCTTCTCGAAGATGATGGTCTTGACTTCTTTTCCAAGGTCTTGACTCCTTTGTCCTTGGCCCTGGACGTAGTCCGAGGTGCCTGAAAACCAGACGCTTCGGCTCGTCGTTCGGGAGCCTTGCCCGTCCTCGAACCTGTGGATGTCGGACGCGAAGGCGTAGATGCTCTTGGTAGACTCTTTGCTTTCACCTTGGGAACTGCCTTTGCAATGGCAAGCGCAGAAGATTGACCTTTGTCATCTTCCGTGGAGCTATCAACGGATTGCACCACTGTGTCGTCAGCTGTTGACTCACCAACGGCTGGCGCTGCCACATCGGCACCGAAAGTCATTGTCGTATCTTGGCTTGATCCCGAGTTCATTGTGGTCGTAGTAGATCAAGTAGTCGTTGCTGTAGAAAGGCAGAGCCGCGTACGGCTGATAACCTGCGTGGGGGATTGATCTCGACTAGGTTGCTGCTCTCCCCACCAGAGCTGTAATGAATGTAGGTGTGGCTGGCTTGCACTCTCCACAGACTGGACCCTGTCTCTCTTACACTTCCACGCGTGCAATCCTATGCAGGCAGAACCGGCGGCCGTTCCTTTTGCACTCACTGCCGGCGGCGTTTCGTCTGTGCAACGGGATAGCTCTGATTGCTCAGGATAGAAGACACTTATAGCACTTAGCTATGGGCATTGACTTGAGCCAAGCGTTGCGTGGGCGGTCACATAGAAAGGTAAAGATGAGGGACGCGTAGCGTGCCCCCTTAGAGTCGAGGGACGCGTAGCGTGCCCCCTCCTCTTGCACTTTACACAGTCTTGCTCACAGCTCTATAGTGACACCTTAGAACTTGACAAGGCATCGCAGTCGTTCGCATTAGTAGTTAGTAGTAGTATATAGTAGTAGTAGTAGTAGTAGTAGTAGTAGTAGTAGTAGTAGTAGTAGTAGTAGTAGTAGTAGTAGTAGTGATAGTAGTAGTAGTTGTTGTTGTAGTAGTAGTAGTAGCAGTAGGAGTAGTAGTAGTAGTAGTAGTAGTAGTAGTAGTAGTGAGTAGTTAGTAGTTAGTAGTTAGTAGTTAGCAGCTGGTACTTAGTAATTAATACTTAGTGGTTAGTGGATAGTAGTTAGAAGTTAGTAGTTAGTAGTCAGTTCTCTGTAGACAGTAGTTTGTAGCCCGTAGTTTGAAGTTTGTAGGTGGTAGTAGTAGTAGTAGTAGTAGTAGCAGCAGCAGCAGCAGTTAGTAGTAGTTCGTGGTAGTAGTAGTAGTCGTCGTCGTCGTCGTAGAAGTAGTCGTAGCAGTAGTAGTAATCGTAGTAGTAGTAAAAATAGTCGTAGTAGTAGTAGTAGTAGCAGTAGCAGTAGTAGTAGTAGTAGTAGTAGTAGTAGTAGTAGTAGTAAGAGTAGTAGTCAGTAGTTTGTAGTTAGTAGTTTGTAGTTAGTAGCTAGTAGTTAGTAGCTAGTAGTTAGTAGTTAGTAGATAGTAGTCAGTTAGTAGTTGGTAGTTAGTAGTTAGTAGTCACTTAGTAGTTAGTAGTTAGTAGTTAGTAGTTAGTACCTAGTAGTAAGTAGTTAGTAGTTAGCAGTTAGCAGTTAGCAGTTAGCAGTTAGCAGTTAGTAGTTAGTAGTTTGCAGTTTGTAGTCAGTAGTCAGTAGTCAGTAGTCAGTAGTGTGTAGTTTGTAGTTTGTAGTTTGTAATCTGTAGTTTGTAGTTTGTAATTTGTAGAAGGGGCAGTAGTAGTTGTAGTAGTAGTTAGAAGTAAGTAGTAAGTAGTAGTAGTAGTAGTAGTAGTAGTAGTAGTAGTAGTAGTAGTAGTAGTAGTAGTAGTAGTAGTAGTCGTCGTCGTCGTCGTCGTCGTAGTAGTAGTAGTAGTAGTAGTATGGTTTATTATCAGTATTACATGCGATGATGATGCGATGATGGTGCGATGCTGATGCGATGCTGAAAAGACTGCCTCCTAAAGTAGAGCTCTTGTGTCACAGCTCCGGGGGAGGGACCGCAACTCATTGAACTCAGAGAGCTGTCGACCTGATCTAGGGCTTATAGGGTTTAGACTAACCAGGGTTTTAGGGTCTTTAGGGTTGGTTGTCTTTCAGCACCTTTTTCCGTCTGGCCCAATCCTCTTAGGGGCCGGTGCTTGAGTTGTTCGGGCTGCGGACGGGTTTCGTAGGGGTTTCTAGAAGGTGATAAGGCTTGATCAGCTGTAATCTGCCATGATTGGGAAAGCAACATTTTAACTGTACATTCCTGCCGTAGGAACCTTAAACTGAGCTTCTCAACAACCCCAAGACCGTGATGCTTGAAGGGTCTCCATGAGGCTTTTGGCTTTGGGCTTTCATGACGCTTTTCTCCGACCGCAGCCTAAGCTACCGTCCGAGAGCCGAAAGACAGGCCAGTGCAGGTCATTCTTGACCCTTCGACAGAAGCTGACCTGCTACAGGATCGGTACTCTGTTTCTTCCTGGGCTTGCGCCATGCGTTAATAAACACGCTGGCGCTCTGGGCCGACCCGGTCGCGAATCAGCGAAGCGACGAAGGCGTCGGGTTTTGTAGGGCCGCTTGGCTTTGTCCTTGTCGGTCCCGACAAGACAGCACAGGGCGCAGCTCTCCGCTTTCGCAGACTTCCATTGCACCCAAATTTCTTAGTCTTCTAGAGTCTTTGGGGTGTAGGCTTTGGGATCTTCGGAACTTCGGGGCGAAGATAGAAGCCTGAGTAATTAGTAATACTATGCCCCAAGGGAGCCGATTATGCTTACAGCGCAAATTACCCCCAAAACCTTTGCCGATTACTAAGGCCCCAGACTACCTGCGGCTTTCTTGCCGTCGGTTTCGCACGGACAACTTCCGCCGACCTGACCGATGAATACTCGGCGGTAAGGTTTACTTAGAGGCCCGGGGGACTTAGTAAGTCTGTTATGAGTAGACTTATCATTGGGGTACTTCAAACTAGGGTAATTATAGCTCTACTTACCACCTACTTACTAAGTCCCCTGGGCCTCTAAGTAGCGGTGAAGGGTGTAGGTTCAGGGTAGACAATGTTGTGGAAACCCCTTGTAGAAGCCCTTTGCATTGATAAGCCCCCTGCCTGAGATCAGCATTTGGATTGGCATCCCACGCTGGAGGAGAAGGAAAGTACCTACCACGGCAAACAACATTCCGGACCCAGCGCCCGCTAGTGACCAACAGCTACTGGTACACTCCGAACCCTAAAACCCCAAAATCACCATCCTCCATGACCTGAGACCCCAATCCCTCAACCCCCTCCGGGGCGCCGCACAGGCAGCCAAAAGCAACCGCACGAAGAACCGACCAAGCTTAGGGTTTAGGGTTCAGGGGTTTAGGGTTCCCAGAGACTCCAATATCCTTGAATTAAGGAATATACCTTAAACTATAGCAAGATCCCTATTATGATTTAATATTGTTAACAGCGGAAAGCACGGACTGTTTTCACACTTGAGCCATACGGTAGCGTAGGTAAGACTGTAAGACAAACGTATGAACAGGATAAAAACACCCCCCGCGCATTGAAGCGCAGCGGAGGAGGCGTATCACTAATCTACGCTACACACAGGCAGCACTCGCTTTGCGAGGCTTCCAAAAGAATCTGAGATGCTAGCTCAAATCACTCCACTGAGCAGGTCAGCAAACCAACCCGTCAGGGCGGTGATGCATGGGCATGCCGATGCAAAAGGCTTTGGATGGATGAACCGGCACGTCAATGCGGTGAGCTGCAGAAAAACGGATCAAAATGCAAGTCGCTGTTGCGCGCGACTCGTGCATCTCCTGACACGGTGCCCTCAAGACGCGGAGCACCTTCCGGTGTCGGATGCAATAGGCTGGTATGCCCTGTACCATGCTCCATTGGAGTCCTGGCGATACTCCTCCCATCCGCGCAGGAACCAGGCGATTTGCTCAACAGGATGTTGAACCAGAACCTCCCGGTCGGTGTAAGCGGGAATGATAAAAGGCACATCAGTGGGCGATAGCTCCTCAAGGTAACGGGCACGGAGGACTCCCCAATACCAAGCATCTGTGCGAGTGCAATTGCGAGGCATTGGTCGGGATGGATCGAATCCGTTCCCGTCTTGATCAATCCATTCCCTTAGGCGATCAGCTGGAAAGCCGGGGAGAGTGACCGTCAGGTTCTCGAGTTGCTGCTCAATCGCCTCATCGCACAGGCGCAGGTGACGCAACCTGTCGTTCGCGGCCTCTTGAAAGTCTCGACCACCACCATAGTCATGGCGGCGCGGTGAGCGAGTGCGAGCACGCCCTCCGGCGGCTGAGGCAGATGGTTCATCAGTGGATGACCCCGCAGGGGCGGCAATTGGTGCAGGTGCATCACCTACAGCAAAACCTCTAACCTCGCCACGACCGGCAAAATAGCTGTCCCACTCATCAGCAGTGATGTATTCCTCAGGCGCACGAACGGCGTCAGCCTTCGGAACAGCTTTTGCAGCAGGTGGGTGCGGCGGCTGCACTGGCCTATTAGCACTGGGCTTAGGAGGAGGCGGCGTGATGCTTCGGGCAGATGCCGGCCTTGCCTTCGTCTTTGCAGCTTTTGGAACAGAAGTGCTTGCTGGACGATCCGTAGATGATGAAGCTGCACCGCCAGGTGAGCGACCTCGGCTCGGAGGAGCCGGTGGGGGCCGAACACTGGGTGTTGCTGCGGGCAGCGACGAGTCAGGACCAGTCCTTCCGGATGGTGACGGCGGTGGAGGTGGCACACGCATGGCGCCAATGGGAGTGGCACCATGTCGGACCATTCGGTCTTCCACCTCGCGATTGATCCAGCCGCGGGTACGCTCAACACTGAACCGCGTACCGCCAAGTAGCTCGAGCATCTGTGACCTGCCCATTGTCCCCAGGGATGCTGGGATTTGCAACGGAGTCTGTCCGATTCCGACCTGCACAGTCACCCTTTGCTGATTGCGCTCTTTCTGGGTGAGAGCATACTGTGCGTTGTTGCGGAGCATGCCGACTAGGTCGGCCATGATCTCAGGAACAGTACCGGTCACGGTCTGGTACTCGACGCCGTCATGGCGGAGGATGCTGAAAGGACGCACACGGCGTACCTCAGAGGCAATCTGAGTGGCTCGGATCAACACTGCGATCTCGGGGACCAGGTAAAAACGATCCTGGAAACAAAAGTAGCAGTGGCTGGCCAGCTCAAGAAAAATGTTCCTCTGATAGTTGTACTCCCCGCGAATCACATCATCGACAGGAGGAAAAATGAGGGCAGTGCGTGCATCGGATGTGTGAGATCCTGCAAAGCCTCTCTTAGCCTCCGTCCCCATTCCTGGGGCGGGAAGTCGCAAGCGCGCGAACATCTCGATCTCGTCGAGTGAAGTAACCGTCATCCCCTTGGAAAACACATTGAATGCGCTGAAGGGTTCGTACTTCAAGTTCTGGCGCAAGGAGCCATGCGTTCCCTCTGCCGCTTTCGCCACCATTTTCTTGCACTTTTCTTTAAGTGTCGCGGCGATGCTCTTCTTCACATCGGCACCCTGACGTGTGTGCTCGTGTGGGCGCGTGTTGATGGCGGCCTTCGGTGCCAAATAGTGGAGGCTGTGGTTAGCTCCACCTTGCACGGCTTCCGCCCGCAGATCAGCCAGCTCCGCAATGTGGGAGATGTCGCTCGGGTTGAACAACTTCCGCTGGCAGCGGGGGCAATGAAGATAGCCGTCAAGCATCTGAGACCTGCACCTATCATCAGGGCAACGCAGCTTTGGGAAGCTGACGTTGAGGCACACTGAGTAGTGCTTGCGCTCCACACGCGACGGGCGCTCGGTGGTCAGCCCGATTGGCGAAAAGTAGACCTGGGCATCCAAGGTCCATTCGCACGGAGTTCCCTCCAGCGGACTACCCTGCTCAAAGCAGATGGTACGACCATCAACATGAAACTGCTCAATCTCACGCAAGTGCGAGGGCTTCTCCATGTCCATGAACATACCCAAGAACTCAACCCAGTCCAAATTTTCATTGTGGATCGGGTAACAGAGATCAACGTAATCCATGATGCAATTAGCGTCAGCTTCCGCTGCGCGTTCGATGAGGTCTTGGTTGAAGACCGGCAGGATTTCCTGACGCTTGACATATGCATCGCGGGCTTTGGACACCCGAGCTCGCGTGAGCACGTACGAGCGGTTAAACCATACAGGTTTCCCGGTTCTGCGATCGTAAGCAAACATAAGGTAGCGATTGGACAACCAATCTGGGGTCTGCAGAACATTGTTCTTTGTCAGGAGAATGCGACACCCTTCCAGGCACGCGAGCTGGAGGTCGATAGCGAATTCAACCTCAGCGCCAGGTCGCAGGCCGGCGTTGTTTGGCCTTTCCCACTGAGGGAGGCAAGCCATCATGGTGAAGGCTCTCCCCGTGCTTCCGCCGAGGGTGACACCGCCTGGGATGAGACCGGTGCTAACAATATTGGAAAAATTGCTCCAATACGTTGCATGGTACCCGATCGGATGCATTCTGACCCAGTCGTTGTGGATGTGGCCAGTGACTCCCACAGGAGGACGCGTGTGCATGGTGGGACGGTAGTCGTCACACAAAGCATAGCTGTCACTGTGCATATCCACAAGATCAGTCTCGTCAGAGATGAGATCGCGGCAGTGCCCCTGGAATGCACGGATTCCATGAATCTCAGTGTGGTCGATGAAGTGGAGGACGCGCAACTCAAAGCGTCCACTGTCATCTTTGTCGCGGTTACCGTACTTCACGACTTCCATGACGTCTTCCGACCGGAGACCGCGCCACTGCTTGCCCAATTGCTCTTTGAAGTGGTCCCATTCGACCTCCCGCGTTGCGGGGTCGAAGGTCATCATGGGCGGTGGCCGCCGTTGTGCCTGTGACTCTGCACTATTCGCGAAACCACGAAGGAAAAAGCTCATGGCACTGCTCAATGCTCGCCGCTTGCCATCCGTCATGTAGCGATGGCTTGGGGCAAAATCGGGGATGTCCTCATAGCCCCACCATTCGAAGAATGGCTCGAAATCACCAGCAGCGTCTTCCGACGGCTGAGCGGTGTCGTCAGGATCCAGGTCCATCACGACATCCTCTTCATCGTCAGTCTCGGCTGGCTCCGAGATTCTCCTGTGCTTGGCAGGATCGGGTTTCGACTTGGGCGTCGACCCGATTCGGCGAAGTGCCTGCGAGTACCCGACTGTGCCTTTGGGAAGACTGCGGTCATCTTCCGATGCCGGAACCTCTGGGGGTTCGTCCCACACCGTGGGGATGCCGTCATTGACTTCCCTCTCGATGGCATCGTCATCTGGGATAAGCACATTGGTGGTATTGATGACATCTCGTGCAACCATAAAGGCAAAGTCCTCTTGCGCCTCAGGGTCGACGGCGACAAGGTCGAGAGGCAGCTCTGACCCAACATCACGGCTAAACAGTACATGTTCAACCTGTGTCACCTCTTCAGAGCCTTCCGGCTTGAGTTCAAGATCATCCACCGGCTCAGGCATCATCATCAGAAGAGGGTGGTCGAGAACGATCTGCTCATCCTCTTCCCTGGCTTCCGCCGGGAGCTCAGGTGCACGGTCCAACGGCTCGAGGATGCGCTGACTTGCAGGCGGCACCGTGAGCGTCTTCTCGGCCTTCCCAAGCTCGAAGTGATTGCGAAACACAATACTTCTCTGATTGGCAACGAACTCAGCCTTCCGGCGAGTGATGATTCGGTCGGTGGAAATGGCTCTGATGAGCGCATGCCACCACTGCAATGAAGCAGTCACATTCGGGTCTGTGACCTCGATGTGGAACCCGTCGGGACGCGTGGTCCTCATCAGGAGGCTTGACGGATCAACGACGCAAACGCCTTCACTCTGCATCTGCCGGGCGTACTTGCCCATTTCTTCATCATACTCGTTGGGCAGGTTGTAAAAGCGGCCGTTGTCATCTCCCAAGAGAACCGTCAGGCCTCTGACACGAGTGTGCTTCCGCAGCTCGATAAGGCGACGGACGCTCTTCTCGACCATCAGCCGCTGCTTTGCGGGCCAATGCTCGATCTCGTCCAGCTCGCGCTGCGGCCTTTTGACCCACTGGCTCGTCAAGTGCCAAGTGTAGCCAAGGTAACCGTAGTTACCATACACATCGTTGCCGGCCCATGAAACCACAAGCTCTACCCCTTCCGGGGGAGCGGAGGCAAGGTGGGTCTCGATCACGTCTACGATCTTGTCGAGACCTTTGCCCCACTCCATCAGGCATGTGACTTCCCCGAACTCTGGGTTCGCTCGGACTATGTCCTGCATCATCGGGAAGATAGTGGTTTTCTTCACACACCGTTTTCCTTGCATCCAGCACAATGCCAAGGATGAGTCCCCGGCCACAAGAATGTCGGTGCCGTCGAAACCACCGGCTTCCGCCGTGGGGGGCGCGGAAATCCTGCCCAAGGCTGGGCTGTAGAGCCCGTCCAAGAGAGCTGAGCTCGCAGGAAACAGTGGGAAGGTACCGCTACCCTCTGACAGAATGTGGACCCTGTGGCAAATGTCATACATTGCCGTTTTATTGATGGCATTCTCGAAGTTGACACCCCACCCGAGGATACCCAAATCCTTAATGTGCTGAAGGATGAGGGCTGACCATCCCGTCAGGGAGGTGTTGCGTTGGTCCTGCATGTACAGGTTGCCCTGGCGGCAAGCATAGTGACGGAACCAGGCCTCGTACAATGCGGTCCAGGGTGCATTAGGCGCATGCACACGCATGTCGCGCCATTCCTTCACCGTCATAATCCCAAGGAACATCTCATCACCGTCGGCGTCAGCCCCGGGTTCATCAAACACCTCAGCAAGGTCGGTGTGCCGAGCAAGGTGGGTGACTCCGGCCATGGCGTCAGCCAGGCGATCGGCACTCTTGAGTGCGGCACGATACGCCTGAATGCGTTCCTCACGATCTGCCGTTGCATATTGCAACCCCTCATCAGTCGGCATACCCTCCCGGGCTGCGATTCCCTGTGCAAGAGCGTCACGAGTGCTCTGGGCAGAGGACATGTTCGCAATGGGAAGAAGCGAAAGAGAGGACGTTGGGGATGCTTGAATCTTGAGCGCAACAGCTACAACGTGAGTCTGATTTCTCTCTGATTTCTTCGGTTCATGATCATCAAAAACACGACTGAGAATCGTAGTAAGGGTGCCTTTGAAGTAGTGTTGGGACTCTGATTTCTTGGCACTATCCTTCAATCCTCGTCTCAAGAATTCAACAAGACTCTTCGTGTTGGAGGCTAGCGTGTAGTGGGCAATGACTTCAGGCTTAAAGTCAGCAGCTGCAATCATCGGCTTAAGGTGAGTTTTGCTAAAACCATAGCCATCAAGTACCCTCTTGACACGCTGCCATCCCCAGAACACGCTGTCCCTGGGCCATGTAATGATGAACCTCGCTTTGTACTTCTTAAGAGCATCGGCGATGTCAACAAACGAAGCCCAAGTCTTGGAGAACATGATGCTGTTGAGCTCGTCCTGATCCTTGTCTGTACCCCCGGATTCCGCTGATGGAACCAAAGAAGTACAGAGGCGCCAGCCTTGTGGTAATCCCTGGCTAACTGGATGATTGCCTTCCTAGTCTCAGGAGGATCAAGCTCACTAGAATTTCTAATCTTAATCACCTTTGTATCGGGGCTATACCTTATATCAACGTCACAAGCAGAATGAGTCCCCTGCGAACAATCCACAACGAACACAATCCTTTTGTATGCGGCTTCGGGCCTCGGCGTCTGCCGGGCGATCGGATCGCTGGTGGCCGCTGCCGATTTCCTTGCAGGCAGCTTGTGCGGTGCCACACACATCAACTGTAGTGCTCTATTCCACTTCTCAGCACTAGTGAATGGTTTTGTAAGGACATCCGCAGCCTGGAGCAAGGTGTTGATATAAGCAAGTTCGTAATGCTTTCGTTTGAACTGCTCTGAGATCCAGCCTAGATTGAGGCGTTGGGTCTTATCAGCATGCCGGAATGCGGGAGACTTACCTGATTCAAGAATGCGAATCGTGGCCTGGTTATCTTCAAGAACAACAGGCTGAACAGAGTGAGGGACCGACACGATCAACCCTATATCGGTATCATTCCTGGTAGGTGCGTTGTCACAGTCACCCCCCGTGTTCCTGATGCCATCGATCTCACGATGCAGGTATGCCTCTGCTTCCGCATGGCGGCGATAGTCCCTGACTGATCTACGGTACACGCAGATGCCGGCTTCATATTCCTTATCAAGGATCTCATCAAGCATGTCCCTTTCTTCCCAAGCCACATCTGATTGGTATGCAAACCACTTACCTTTCTCAAGGAGCCAAACATTACGTATGGGGTGCGAAGTGAGATTATCGGGTGGTGGAATCACCTTAATCTTATTGTACACATCCAGCACACGCCCGTCGTCAAGCTCTTGAAGGCCGGTGAAAGTGATCTTTCCAAACTCGGGCAAGGGAGTAGTTTTAGGAACAAATGGTTTGGACTCTCTCGTCAGAGGAGTGGGCGATTTCGTTGCAGTATCCCCCCCGCGTTCAGGAGCACACTCCAAAGTGCGGATGAAGGAAGGCCTAAGGCTCTCAATGCAACATTAGCACACACAACCTCTGCTTCAGTGGAACTGAGTGCAGTGCTCGTTTGTTTCTTGCTAAAAGCGGCAAGAGGGTAGTAGGTGTTGGGACCAACAAGTACCAGGATTCCTCCGGACGTAGATTTGTTGTCGTGCTCACCAGCATGGTCGCTGTCAGCGAACAACCAAAGCTTGCATTCAGAAGGCTTATCTCCTATAAAACACTTCATGGTATAGTGCTTGGTGCTGTTCACGTAGCACATAAGCCTATGCAAAGCCTTATCACAGTCGGAAGACCACTTGGTGACCCTACTAGCCAACCCCTGAACGGCCCGAAGCAGATCGTATCTGGCCATTCTTGCTGCAAAGAGCAACTTCATGAGGACTCGACTGGCGATGGGAGCCAGCCTGCCTTTTGCTTCGGCCTCAGTTTCCACTGGGCGAGCGATTTTATCATCATAAAAGGGTGTGCTGACCTTCTTGAGATTGTGGTACTCAGGACCAGCAAGTTGCTTGTACTTGTCAATGGCTTGTTGCAGAAAGGACGACATGTCATAGATGACCTCACGAACTTTCTTGTACATGCAACCTTGATTGTCACCCAATTGGTTGATATCATAGAACGCTTGTTTCTTAGCTTCCTTCTTGGCTTCATTCTTATCCCTGACGCGTTGCACAGCGGCCATAGCACTGGCGCGATCATGGGAACCAGAACAAATATATGTGGTACCTGTCCACAGCTCCCCCCGCTTTGCGCGGTTACCATTATCATCCCACAATTCGTGAACTACATCGGGTTTCCCAACATCAGTGAGATGGGTACACCTGTGATGCCCCAGCCCATAAGCTGAAGCTTCCGCTTCGCGGGGTTGATAAAGAGCTTTGCGAGGCTGACAATGATGTCGAACCATTACACCTTCTTCGGGGAACGATTCAGTGTAGTCTTCTTTAGCTGCAACACTAGCAGGCTTCGCCGCCGGATCGGGAACAGTCTTGTCAAAGACGTGGGCGAAAGGATGGTCGGCCTTCCTGAGGGTGGAAGTGTTGGTGATGTGATCACAACCCAGATATCTTCCGACCGGGGTAGGCGTATCCATATCGATCTTAGATCCGATAAGTTCCCATCCACGGGCCATGTTCTCTTTAGGGCCCGCCATCTTGAAATCATCAACATAAACGGCGAGAAGCAGCTTCAACTTAGGATGAAAGAACACTGAGGGCCATGCTGCTGAAAACACAAGCTGGAACCCTACCTGCTTCAGCATGCGCTCGCAATGCTGTTCCCAGAAGCCTCCACTATCAGGGTGGCCATACAGTGCAAGGTGAAGGCGGACAACAGGATCCTTGTATTTACCAACCCACTCCTTGGGCCATCTATCTCTAGGGAGACGAACCCAAGTGTCAGCACCCTTCAAAGTGGTTTGGGTGTAGGCCTGTTTCCCATCGGCCTGTTGACACTCATTTCCAGGAGCGTGACCATAGGCATCAAGGGCCTTTCCTGCTTCCATGGTTGCGGGGCTGGACCCCAACTCAGAAAACAGTGCGGAGTCGGAGTTTTCGTCGCGCACATTATTCCCCTGAAAAACCGTCCTTCCCTTGAACTTCCTCAAAGGATCATTAGCAGGCAATTCACTTCCCTTTTCCACGCATATTTCGAACACCTTCCCCACATGGGCCTTCTTACCCTTTTTCTTAGCTTCTTTAGAAACCTCTTCCCATTCCCGAACAGAAGCCATGTCCCAGGCCTTCTTCTGCATGAGCTTGTTCCACTCAACATCTAACGCAGCTTGGGCCTTGGGACTGCTAAGAATCTCCTTTCTGCCCACCGGTCTGGCAACCATAGCCATAAGCTCATTGATCTCTTCGAGCGACGTGGGGCAGTTTGGCAAACTCTTTTCTCTGTGCTCAGGACTTCCGTCGAGCGATACTGGCATCGCGGGAAACTCGGGGCGTGACCCGCTGACCTCGCCAGAGGCAGGAACTTGTGGGGTGATAATAAACTCGGTTTTACCGATCCACTTGAACGATGTCTTCTTATTACGCCTCCGAACGTTGCGCCAATCGTCCTGATCGTTGACAACATCAACTCCACCGACTGGGAAGATAACCGAATTGCGGACCTTGCTAATTTGCTTAGGGTCAACAGGGCAATCGGTAAGATCAGGTGAGAAGAGCTCTCTTCTAGGAACAAAATGGAACCTAGTGAGTTTGTTCCCCTCTATCTTCCAACAGTCTTTATCAGGCAATGCGGCGGCAGAAGGCTTAGCACTACTGCTTGCTGAGCCACCAACTTCTTCGTCAAGCTCTGCAAGAGCAATCTTTCGTGCTTCATCATCAATGGCTTTCTCTTTCTGTCTCTTAGACAAGTTAACCCAGATGGAACTAGGTATGGAATCAGGTTTCTTGGATCCCCTTGTCCCCCCGTATCTTCGGCCAATCACGCCACTTGAATCATAGAACCTTCCACCTTCCGGTAAAGGAACAATCTTGCCGGTTTTGGGATCAATGACTTCATGGGGCTTGACCGCCAGGTCAGCGATAGGAGGAGCGGCATCATCGCCAGCTTGCTCATCCTGTGCTTCAGCATCCTGGTTTTCGAGAGATTGGGACACAGGGCCTTCAACAGCCTCGGACGAGAATCCAGCCTGAATGCGCTCGTATCTCTCCTTCATAGGAAACGTGAAGTCTCCCCCCGGAATCTTGAACTGGTAGGCACTGATGGGATTCAGGCACTCATGAAAATCGTTACGGTTGAGTTCCTTCAAAGGTAACACCACGATTTCTTTGCGCCACTTCATCCCAGGTTGAAACCTATAGCCAAGGAAAACACCAGGTTCGGAGGTAGGAGCGAAACGTTCTCGGTTCTTGCGAGTAGCTTTGGGACCGACCCAGTAATCGATTCTACACCCAAACGGAATAAGCTCTCCCGGGAACTTGTCCCCGAATCTTTTGAACCAGGGTGTGTACTTCACATCATGCACATGACTGATATTGAATGCGGTGCACGAATGCTCCAACGCATATGGCCAATATACATGCGAGACGCCAGCCTGCAGAAGGTTGGTTCGAGTGCCTTCGGTCACAGACCGGACTTGCCTTTCGGCAATCGCATTTGACTAACGCAAGTAGGCCTTAGACTTCTCGTGACGCCACTTCATGGTTTTCGCAGCAGTCTTGAGTTCAGGAGCGCGATCACTGTAGAAATTCTTCACTTCATCCTTTGGAGATGTGAAATGCTGAAGTGCAACAGTGCATTCTTCAGCTGACTTGAGAGCTGAGGGGTAGGCATAGCAAAAGCCTGTTGCAACGTCCTTAATCACCAGCGCCAGCCGGGAGTCCTCTATGATGGTGTCCTTGTCCCGATAGAGCACGATGTGGTCTGCTGTAACGTGGTCACCAAAGTCTTTGGCTTCAATAGTACGCACCCCTCCCGTCGCATATGAAGGAGGTTTGTACATCTTAGCCCTTTGACAAATATCACAGAACGGATTCTTCGGCTGATGCGACATCATATGATGCAGCGACTTAGCTTCAGCTTTCAGGACTTCTATACCCCGTTTTCTCTTCTTCCCATCGCCCTCGGACTCCCCATCTGGGGCGACACCGGCTCCGTCAGAAGCGCGAGCTGCACCCGGATCATCCTTAGGCATGTCTTCCAGATCAGAACCTTCCTCCTCGAGGATGCGATTGAGGTAATCCATATCGTCTTCGTCATCATGACCACTTCCTTTCGATGTAGGCGGAGGATCAGGTTCTTTGGGTGGTTCAACTTTCTTTTCTTTTTCAGGCTTACCCTTAGTCTTGACCTTGGGCTTTGCACGTAGTTCAACCCCTTTCTCAACTGGAGGTGTTCCGGCAACAAGGTCATACAAGGACGTTTCCTCGTCACCGGGTTCGATCAAAGACGGAGCTGAGACCTTGGATGGCACGTTGAAACCATACTCTTTAAGTCTCGCAAGCTGTGTAGCATCAAGCTTGTGCACAGCACGATTCACGTATGACGTGATGCTCCATCTGTCACCCTTCCAGGGACGGACACAGTGGTACGTCTTGGGATCAAACGTAATCATACGATGCTTGGACTTGTGAACTTTGCCTTTCAGCTTACTGCCGTCAGGCGTGCGAACAGAAGCATAATCTTTGTTCTCCCTGCTGATTTCTTCATCATGAATCCAAAGTTCGCCTCCCTCGAAGTCACCCAAACACATAGTGTTGTTCTTATGTTCACGATGATTGTGAGCATCTTTGTGCACCTTGACGCTGGACCCGTGATTAATGCACAGTGAAGAGCTGGGGCCCTTGGCACCATGATGTTTCAGATACTCATTGAGGAACTTCATTAGCTCCTTGTTCTGGTGACTGCGGTTAGTGATGCCTTGCATCCCGCCGTGCGAGAAGGCTCCGAGCACAACATACTCGGACTTCTTAGAGGACTTTGGGTCCTTGGCGATGATAGACCTCTGCTTCTTAGAGGCCTTGAAAGCTACCTTGTTTAACAAGGAGTAACATGATGCATGTGAGAAGTCGCCAGACTCTCGAAGCTTCTTTGCGATAGCCTCGGATGATTCTTCCGGCGCTGGCCTTCCGGCCGCGGAGGAGCTTTCAATGATCTGCGTCTTACCAGGACCGGACGAGGCCCGTCGCGCAGGGACGCTGATGTTTTCATGCCAGGACTTCAAGTACGGCACGTTATCCTTAACGTCCATATAGACCTTCTTCCCTTCGGGAGTCTTAAGGTACGGTCGTGAATTAGCCCTCCAAATGAAATCGAATCCCTCTTCCATGCATCGCTGTCCTATTGAAAGGACAGATGGGGTATCAGGAAGAACATATGGTTTGACCTCAATCCCAATGGAGTCAACAGAAACATCACACTGTTCTGAAGCGGAGTTTGGCCCATTTGCAGTCATCATTTGAATGGGCGCAGGTGACTCGTAGGCCTTAGCCTGCCCAAGCTCCCGCTGGGCGATGAGATCTTGCGCACTGCCAGTATCAGCAATCCATTCGATGCACAGACATGGCGATTTGCTGCTGGCGGGTGCGGCACAGTTGAACTTCAAACCAACCGGTATGCAATGCTTGCATCCAAACTCAGTGTTGCACTTGAACTTACACTGCGGTCTACAGCCCTTGACCTCATCACTGACAACAGCTTGCAACATCTTAGCGGTTACCTGAGCTTCCTTCACGGAATCAGGATCGGCTTTCCAATGGCTGTTGGCGGGATATACTTGGCTATACTCCCTTGGCTTATTGCGATCATCGAGGGGGTAGAGGCCATTCCCTTTCGGAATTTGGTACGTGAAACTTTCAGTAGTGTCGTTGAATGACACTGCGGCCAGTGCGACATGATAGTGCGGGGTGCAAACATCGACATTGCTCAACATATCCTTCCGGAACGTGAATGCATCGGCTTGGGCTGCTGAGCCAGCCAACATTGCTCCCAATAAGCAAACTGCAGCGGGAACGGAGGGCGCACCACCCTTGCGACCTGAGCCACGCGAACCCTTCGAGCCTTGGCTAGACTTACTTGATTTTCGGCTGCCGCTCTTTGAAGAGCTCTTGGAGCTAGATCTGGAGCCTTTGCGGCCCTTACCACTTTTCTTCTCTTTCTTCTTGTGCTTCTTTTCCTTCTTCTCGCCGCTGCTCGCTCGTGCACCTGAGCTGCCCGGGGCGGCTGCAGCAGGTTGGCCGTTGTGGAGGAAGTTACACTTGTCTCCACGATTGCAAACTCCTTGCTTAAAGAACTTGCATTCCTGCTTTTTGCCTTTACCTTTCCCTCCCGGGCTAGGGGTTCTAGTAGGCGTACGACCTCCGGCAGGAGTGTGAGAACGCCCCCTAGGTTGTTGGTGCTTGTACGGGCAATTGTCTCTCTTGCAACTTCCGGTCTTGACCCAATCAACGCAATACCCTTTGGGAATACGCTTAGGGGCCGGTGCGGCAGCAGGCGCAGTAGGTACACCTGTTTGCCGAGCAATGCGCTCGCGGTTCTTCTGCAATCGCTTGCGTTTCAAATGATTAGCAACCGCGTTATACAGGAACTGATAGGACCTTTGCTCGCTACCTTCCAGTGCGCGTTCATAGACCTGGATGTCGTGATCGATTTCCTTGCACTTCTTCACCTGTCTATGGAACAGGGGTTCAAGCACGCTGTTGTCTGGAGGATTGGGAATCCCTGATAGCACCGTATCCCAATTTCTAATGAAGGTGGTGAGGTTTTCGTTGACCATGATGCAATTCATCAGGTCCCCCATGTCATACACAGAGCCATGGAGTGCATTGGTAGCAAAGTGGTTGTGAAGACGACACAGCAACTGTCTTCCTCTCACCAGCCTTCCGGCGTGAGCTTCGGTCTCCTTGAAGGTATCAGTCTGCCTAGCGAAATCACCCTCAAGGATGTTGGTGAGCCCAGAAAGGATCTTGGCATCCAAGGTGCTAAACCCCTCCGGGTCGCGAAGCTCTTTCTCGTCGGCGTCCTTCTCCCAGACCTTACTGAGCCAGGCATGCGCCTTGTCAGGCGAATCCGATGCAGCGACAATGGCTTCACGGACCCTTATGCGCCAGTTTCTATACTGCTCAGGCTGGGGAAACTTGGGAAACACGACTTTCTCAGCCTCTTTAACCTTGGGTTTGGTACTCGAGGAACCCTTTTCTTCATCATCATCCTCTTTATCAGACTTCTTAGATTTCACCATCTTCTTGAGCATCTTCAGAAGAATCTTGTTGTCGATGGAAGAAGACGATGAATCCGACGACTCATCTTTCTTGTGCTTTTTGGATTTCTTGCTCTTTTTCTCCTTCTTACCGCTCTTTTCAGGCGCTTCAAGTGGTTCGCCAGGAGGAGTATTGATCGGAATGGGTCCTAGACCAGGAGGCCCGGCCTGTTCCGGTTCATTGCCCAATGGGTCAGCTTTGGCTTCCGCCAAGCGTGTTCTTAGCTCGGCATTGTCCTTTTGCAGCATCTCCATGTTGAGGGCTTGAATCCTCATCATCTCTTGCATCTCACCTTTGAGGCGAGAGAGCTCGTTGTCACGAGCTGACACGTCGGCTTGATTAGCCTGCAACCTTCGATTAGCCTCGGTTTCCACCTGGGCGACAACATTTGCAGCTGTCTGTTCAGCGGATAGGAGGCGCTGCCTTAGCTGCTCAGCTTCAGCAGCGGCTGCTTCAGCCTCAATTTGGTACTGGGCTACGGCCTGCCGACCAGCATGGATGTTTTGATCAGCCTGTTCTTCAAAGGCTCTGGCTTTTGACTGCAACTGTGCATGCTCAAGCCTCAGCTGAGCGACTTGACTCATGGCACCTGTTTCCAAAGCGAGAATTTGCTCCCTGTTTTCACTTTGGATATTGCGAACGGCTTCAGCGTGTCTTGCATTTGCTGTGTCCATAATCAATGCAGGATCCGCACTGATCAGAACGTTTTGCTGATGCTGATACAACTGATTCACGACAGTTGGAACGGAGGTGTGCGATGGAGGCACCGGAGAATAGCCTACGACTGTGGGTGAGGGCTGATGTGTCAGCGACGCTCGTGATGGCACGTATGCTGGTTGAGGTCCAAGAGACCCAACATGCGAACGTAGCGTCTGCTCAGTGAGAGCTACCCGACCCTCCCGGGCGGTGACAACCGGAAGCTCTGCGCCCAGATTCGATCTCGAGCGGGCGGACTCCGTATCGTCATCACCTAGTTCGGAGATAGGCACACCTGCAGGATTTGTGGGAGCTGTGGTGTCCATTGCACTACGAAGAGCTATACAAGCTACGGCTGATAACCTATTGTTAACAGCGGAAAGCACGGACTGTTTTCACACTTGAGCCATACGGTAGCGTAGGTAAGACTGTAAGACAAACGTATGAACAGGATAAAAACATTTAAGGACTATTCCTCGGTTAGGGTATATTGGAGTCTCTGGGTCTAGGCCTCCCGACAAACACCCGCATGCTAGATCCAGGCACTTCGAATCGTCAAGCGTCTTCTGGCAAAATCTATTAGGCCTGTTTGGGGTTTAGGGGTTAAGGAGTCTAGATTCGGAAACGATAAGTGTTGACTCTGGGATGGAATATAGTTGGAACCCACCTGTCATTTGTAGAACTTCGAATCAATAAGTTTGAAGATGTGCCTGTTCTTGGAGTTGATCACTTGAGATACGGACTCAATCCGATGGCGAAACTACTGGCCTATTCTTAGAAGAGGATGGGCCTTGGGGACGAAGAGGGCAATAGATCCAAGGGTAAAAGGAAGGACCCTTAATAAGGACCCCTAGGTATATACCCTTAATATGGCTATTCTATACCCATTATATAGCCCATTATAGGGTAGGGGTCCCCATTAAGGGTCCCTCCTTTTTCCCCTTTGAATAGAGAAAGCTCTTTCAGAGGAGCCATGGCACTTACGGATAGAGGCAAGGCCTAAGACAGTCAGTGCTACCAGTCAAGTTCTGTCATTGTCGCTGTAACCATCTGGGAGTTTCCGAGCATAGGGGACCCTAATATAGTATCCTACTTAGTAGGATCCTTATTATAAGGACTCCAAGATAAGATTCCCCATATTTCGGAAACTCTAAACCCTTATAGAGCCCTTTAAAGGTACCCGTATAGTGCACCTTTAAAGAAAGCCTAAAGTACCCTTAGTTTTCGGAAAGTCCCATGTCAACGATCTGCGGGAACTGAAAAAAAACATGCACCATGGAGCAGGACGTTTCTGACCATGCTTGAGAGCAAGGCTTGACGTAGCGGCCCTAACAATTAGAATAGGGTTTGGGGGTATAGTATACTGTACTTACCCCCAAAACCCTATGCTAATCACTAAGGCCTCTACATTACGCGATCTTGAGGTTCAGCTTCTCTTCAAACCACCTGTGAAGGACTGGCTGGCCCAACTGTCTGCAACCGACAGGATGTTGATACACCGCCCACAAGCCACGACGTCTGAGAAAGTGCCGACCACCGGGGACAACTGTGTGCAATCGTGAAGCGTATCCTGCCTTCCGTCATGAGGACATGGTGGACTGCATGTTGCCAACCAACTCCTCCACCATCGACACTTGTCGGATTGAGCCGACAGAGGATGTCGCGCATTGCGGAGTATCCACAGAGTCGCGGCCCGGGCCACAAGCACCCAAAGTCCAGCCCTATGTGCCGACAGTGTTACCAGATAACCGGGCGTCACCGCCTCGGCTGCCACGGCCTCGGAAACCACACTTGGCTCAACCGAAGCTATCATGTCTCCAGTACCATCCTCTTCAACCATCATTGCCGTCACAGTGCACTCATTCAAGTTCTGCACCTCAGAAACGTTTGATAGTGCAGCCGTCGTCAAGCTCTGCGGGGAGAGATCGTACTCCCACGCTCGGAGGATGTGGCGCAGGTTCACCCAACGGGCATCTCTGCTTCAAGAAGACCGCATGGCTTTCTAAATGGCAGCCACGTGAAAATGTTCTCACATGCTGTCTGGAAGACTGGTTTACAGGGAGAGCGCAGGCAGAAGTACCTCCAGGTTAGCATCAACCACAATCACCGCCGTCACTGCCTGCCGGCTGACATTACCTCACAAAAAGCTGACAGCACCCTAAGCGCTTCCAAGCTGGTCCCCCAGGCCAGTACTAGGCGGGCTCTCCACCGCTTAACGTCTGAGGTCGAAAGAGATCCGGTGATATCCGGTGTTCGATGAGATATGGTCGTCAGCGAGCACAGTACAATGACAAACGAACTGGCCCAAAAGACTAACAATTCGGGACAAGAAGCCTTTACCGACCGGTGCAGTTCCTGGAGAATGTATGGAACCGCAGCCTTCGACAAAGTGTAAAGCCTTGGTTGCCAGTGCCTCGGCCTGCGATTGGCACGCACTTCCTCTTGGCTCCTGATACTGGGCACAGGTTCCATGTTTCCCTCATAGCAGCAGCTCGGCCACTCGCTAGGAGGGCCCTCACTGAGGTGGTCGGCGCGCTCCTAACCTCCAACTGGGCCCCGGAGGGCAGGAGGACCCACACAGTCAACATCCATTGAAACCACACGGCGATAGTGCATCGTCACTGTCTGCCGGTTGACATTCTGCATGTCCCGTGCAGATCCCGGACAGAATCTGGAACCGCAACCCTCGAAAAAGGAATGCCGAGACTCCACCTTGCCAAAATCGACAGATGTACCGCAGGCTCACCCGACGGGCACCTCGAGACTGGAAGGGTCACCCGGGTATCCTCTTAGCAGATGTATAATGCCATTCCACAAGTCTGGAAATGAGACTTGACTCAGAGTACGAAACTCTCTATGCTTGCACAGCAGCGCAGAAACTCCACAGAATCATGGTCTACGTGACAGGCATCCACGGTCCAGCCGGATGTGCCCAGATCGTTACCAGACCACCAGAAGTCACCGCACGCACCAACCAGCAAGCCGTGTAGACATACGGGATTCATTTCAGTGCAGCATCTCAAGTCCAGCAATGAACAAAGCACCTGAGCGCCACGAAGAAAAGCCGAGGCCGACCAACAGCTTGTGCGACCACCTCCTCCTCGTCGCGGCAACCGAGACTGAGCTAAGTGCTGCAGTGCCCTGCATCGCAGTATCATCTCGTTCAAGGAGATGGTGAAGGGTGGAACACGATTAGGAGGAGATGGCCGAAGAAGTCATCCTGAAGCTCTGGAATCTGCCAGGAACGATCGGCAATCTTGGTGCCTCTAACTGATCTCGCACTCCATGTATGGCTTTTTACGGCACTCAAAAAGATGAACCTGCGATCCTGACTGCTGAGGGTTTGGGATTTCGGGATTCCAGGCTTCTGGCTGGCCACCATGCATCACGGATGTTCGACGACTACTTAACGCCCCATGATGCTTCCGAAGAACGTCTGTGTCAGCCCAGCGCACGAAATCCCCACCGAAAATGTCTGAAAACTTACACCCCGAAAGCAGACCACCGACCCCAAAAGCCCCGCACAACCAAAACGAAATCCCCAGCTCTCTCCCAAACCCTAAACCGTAAACCCTAAACTCTAAACCCTAAACCCTAAACCCTGAACTCTAAACTCTAAACCCTAAACCCCAAACTAAAAACACCAAACCCTAAACCGTCTCCCCCGACATGGCCCTGGAAAGCGACACACGGCCAAGGAGTGGGCCCGGATCTTCGGCTCGCGGCCTGAAGAATAATCTAGGGGCCTTAAGAGTTAGAACAAGGATCCCTGTAAATTTAAAGGGGTCGTTTTTTGAAGGATCTATAAGGGATCTATATGAGGGTAGGAAAAATAGGGGCCTTAAGAGTTAGAACAGGGATCCCTGCAAATTTAAAGGGATCTTTTTTTGAAGGATCTATAAGGGATCTATATGAGGGTAGGAAAATAGGGGCCTTAAGAGTTAGAACAGGGATCCCTGCAAATTTAAAGGGATCTTTTTTTGAAGGATCTATAAGGGATCTATATGAGGGTAGGAAAAAATTGGGGCCTTAAGAGCTAGAATGGGGATCCCTTTAAAGGGGTCTTTTTGAAGGATCTATAAGGGATCTGTATGAGGGTAATATAGGGTCCTTAAGAATTACATAGAATTAGAATAGGGCTCCTTTAAACGGGTTCTTTCACAAGGGCTGCTGTAAGGGAACTATTTAAGGGTAGTATGATATCGGGGCCTTTATCCATAGAATAGGGTTTCGGGTCCCGTTATACTATAATTATAATAGGTACTTGTTAAGGCCTCTATATTAAGCGGCTAAACGGACGCGGGTAGATGGTGATGCGGATGCCACTGACGATGAGGATGACGATGACGATGATGATGGCAAAGGCCCGATGGTGATGTTCGTCATGACGGCTGCACGACGATGCTGATGGCGATCAAGACTCTTTAAGCAAAGATCAGGAAGGGTTTAGGGTTAAGGGAGGAAGCTGATTAAGCACACTGTGAATGAGGGCTCACCTGATTGTGAAGTATCCGGTGAGAGTCAAGGTGATGAGGATGATGATAGTGGAAATCCGATGCTGACGCCGTTGATGCTGTTGACGATGAACCGTGATGATGCCGAGCTTGGTGATTATGCAGAAGATGGGAAAAATGCGAAGGCACGAAGGTAGGGAGACCAATGACCAGCAGCACCAGCAGCACCAGCAGCACCATCCCCATCCCATCCCCATCGCCATGACGAGCATCCCGCAGATTTCCTGCTTCTTGACCTGAACGGGTTACCACAAGGGATACTATTCATGGTTCTTAGACTATAAAGCTTGCTAGAAGGGTTACTGTAAGAACTGAAGCTTGTCGACCGACTTCGGCCAGCTAGAGAGCTCTGCGCGATGGCCAGCAAATCCTTCGGCGATTAGTGCTTAACTAGGCTGCGCCCTAAACCCTAAACCCAAAACCCTAAACCCAAAACCCAAAACCCCTAAACCCCTAAACCCCTAAACCCTAAGAGACACACACAGAGAGCTGCACCTTCACACGGAGAGCAGCCTGGATTCGGAAGAGCGAGGCCACCTCGCGACCTTTGCATTAAGAGCCCTGGTTTAGGGTTTAGGGTTTAGGGTTTAGGGTCCATGCCACAACCTCCAGGAAACACCGACTCTTGAAGCGGTTTGAGGCTCATGGGATGCATGTTACGGATCCCAGTTGCGGTCTCTGGCAAGCATCTCCGGATCTACGAAGCTTTCGAGGCTCCGGGGCTTCGAAACAACAATTTTGAGAATTTAGGAGGGGGGCTTTCGGAAGTTGAGAAGTCTTAGTCGTATGCTCATGCTCCTTATGAGGGTTCTTTACAAGCAGGATCCTAGTCTTACTCCTTGAGAACTTTTGGCTCGGCTTGCCCGGCCTTGACGTTCTTTAAGAGCCCTTGCGAGTTCTAGAAGCGACCTGTACGGGTTCTACAATACAGGGCTGCCTAATGAGCTTCGGGGTTTGGTTGACTAACAATTTTTGTTGCACACGGGCCGGCAGGGAATACAAAGACGAAATATCCAGACCCCGAAAATTCCTTTCCACGATTTCCGACCCGTTTTCCAACCGAAACAGTCGCGGGCTCAAAAGCCTCCGACGTAAAACACCATCGTAGCAAGGCAGGGTTTAGGGTTTAGGGTTTAGGGCACCAGGGCGTTGTGCAACCGAAGCACGGGCCTTGGACTGTTACTTGGGGTTCCAACAGGCAATATCTACATTACCAGGCTGATGCCACGTGCTAAAACATCGCTAAACCCTCAGCCCCAAACCCTAAGATTCCAGCCCCTCGCTCTAAGACGCAACCCCGTCACTAGCTGTGCTGGTCTAATAGAGGGGCCTTAGTGATTAGAAGAGGGTTGTGGGGCCCATTATACCATAATTATAATTAAAAAAACCCTCCAAAATAGTATAGGTAGACCCCTTTTTCCCGGCTGCCTCCAGGGCACCATGCTCCCCAAACGCGAAACCCGACAAAGCCGGGCGGGTGCCTCCGTGCTCCGCTTGCTGCCGGCCATCGCGCACGCCCAGGAGATCGAGCCACTCCCCCCGGGGCCCAAGGATTTGCTTCGTTTCGAGGGCCACTTTAGAGTTGAGAACTGAGAGTTTAAGCGGTTTAGGTTAGCAGCAGTAGTAGTAGTAGTAGTAGTCGTCATTAAGGGCTGCTAGGAGGGGCACTCCTAAGTAGCCGAGCACTGGTGGTGTTGTTCCGGCGGTGGAATGTCGGCCCCAAGTTCGGTATGAGTAGGTTGCTCGGTAATCTGGTCACGGCTACTTTTGCGGTTTAGGGTTTAGGGTCTAGGGTTTAACGATGTTTCTGATCATGGTCCTTTCTCTGTCCATGCTTGGAGATGGTGGCACTAAGATTGAACTTCGTCAACTACTTGGAGGGTCGGGGGACTTAGTAACTGGTTATTTTAGGGACTTATAAGTACCCTAACCCCAATTAGGGTCCCTTTCGGGGTACTTATAAGTCTACTTACTACCCACTTACTAAGTCCCCCGACCCTCCAAGTACTGTCCTTATTGCAAACCTTTTGATGTTTTAGTCCTCTTTGCAATTTTTCGGCTCTATGAAAGGATGCTCGAGCTCATGGCTGTATCCTAGTAACACGGTTTAGGGTTTAGGGTTTAGGGTTTAGGGTTTAGGGTTTAGGGTTCAGGGTTTAGGCTTTGGCCTTTCGGGTTCTGGGCCCCAGAGTTCTTTGCCGGCTGGAGCTTGGCTTCGGGGGCCCCTGGAAAAGCCCCAAACTCATCTGAGAGAAAAGGTTTGGGGCTTAGGGTTTCAGTCCTTTGCACGCCAGGCTCCTTGCTGTGGAGAGCTCTTCCACTAGGAATTCGGGGTTCGGGGCTTGGGACTGCGGGATTCAAAGCTGGGACTGTGGGGTTTTTGGGCTCATGGTCTCAACTTTCAAAACCCCTACTCTAAGCTTCCCTAGCCCCAAACCTCCAAACACGATCTGATATGGGTCTGAAAAATCAGTAATATCATCCCTCGTCATAGTAGGCGCTATCATCGGCCCCGATACTACTATACCGCCTTTTAGTAGAACGATGATTGAAATAATGTGTTTAATGCTCTCAAGGGCTTTATATGAACAAAAACAGACATGAATTCCTAAGGAGCCCATAGACTGCAAAAGCCCGGAAAGCCCCACCCCAATCGCCGGTCAAATCGAGGAAGCGGCCCGCTTGCCGTTCCGGCCCTCAAGCTGCGAGGCCGGACGATCACATCGGTTCAGGGTTTAGGGCTCAGGGGGTTTAGGGTTTTCGCTTTGGGGTTCAGGATTTAGGGTTTAGGTTTTACAGTAGGGTTCAGGGTTTAGGGTTTGGGGTTCAGGGTTCAGGGTTTAGGGCTTAGGGGGTCCAGGGCTGTGAGGGGGCTGACGGGGTTGGGGCACGTGGCTTTAGGGGGCCAGGCTCTTGGCGTCGGGATTTACGGCTTAGGGTTTGGGGATGAAGGTTTCGGGTCTAGGGGAGTTAGGATTAGGGGGACCCTTGGGGATATAGACCCTCTTCAATAAGGCCCCTTTTAAGAGAGCCAGAAGTAGGGTTCAGAAGGGGTACCCTTTAAGGGGTCCCCCTAATAAGGTTTCGGGTCCAGGGGTCGATGCCGGGATATCGTTGTAAGGCTAGGGAGACTTCGGGTTCGAGGCACTGCGCAAAGGCAGAGCTATGGCCTTGAAAAGTAGGAAGCTCTCAGCTTCCAAAATGAGCAAGTTATCCACAACTAAAGCTACACCCAAACCCCATAGCCAAATCCCACAGACCCGGACAGGACAGCTTAGACCCTTAAGCCCGGATGCCTTTAGCTTTTCGCACGCACGGGGCTTCGAGTGTTGAGGGCCTCAAGATTAGGGAAGTTAGGGTTCAGGGAGAATCCATATGACGAAGTTAAGTGACTTGCTCGAAAAAAGCATGAAGATGTCGGGTCTTTGGCACGCTCCGCTTCTCCAAGAATATCGCTTCTCACTGCGCGCAGACCACTTCCCACTCCCCATCCTGTCAAAGCCAGTCCTGCCGAGCTTAGAGTGCTTTCACCCTTCTTCCGGGTCCGGGAGGTGCCGAATCTGCAAAACGCTCCCGCCCTTCTACGGTATTCCGCACCCCGGAGGGTGGTCTTCCTAGCGGCGCATGGGTCATGCCGCACTACCCTTAGGATCCCCTAGGATCCCCTAGGCCCTCACCTCTCAGCTCGACTAGGGGCCTCCAAAGCTGCTCCACCGTTGCATGCGCCCGTCTATGAATCTGCGAACCGCAAAGTGTCATCTCATGTCAGTGCAAACTGAAAGCAGCAGCTCAAACCGTCGGAAACTTCTCTTGCGCCTCTCCTGGTCATCGTCACACTTGACTCCCGTCTGGACTGGGCCCCGGAGGGCTGGGAAGGTCAAAGCACTCACTGCACTCCTCAGTTCACTCACACTCCTCAGCAGTCCTCTGCCTCTACTCACTCAAAGCTGCACCGGCCCAGCCCGTCACGTCCATCACCCGTCCGCCGGCTCCGCTTCGGGGCTCTGGGGCACTGCTGACTTCGCCGCCGACTCGGCACTGGCACTGGCACCACTCACTCTTTTCTCTTCGGAACCCCGGAGGGCCATGCTTCGCGCGCTCAAGCGAGAGTCCATCACCTTTGCCACCAGTCGCTGGAGCGAACTCCGAGCTCTTGGCCGCAGGTGCGCCGTTCTCGCGCCCACCTTGGCACAGTTTCAGCAGGACTTGCCCTAAAGAAGTACTTCAAAAGCACCGTGCTGCCGGAGGCTGAGGCCACTGCACGTCCTCTCCCTGTAAGGAGCCGGCAGCGAGGGCTCCAATCCTTAGGCGTAGGTGTCCACTCATGATCTCTTGCACAGCTCCCTTCCTTCACTCTCCCCTCAAGCCGGTGCGGTCTCTGAGCCCTCCGCGCCATCCGACTGCAGGACATTCGTGCAGGTACTTGCATTATATATAATATAATATAATATAATATAATATAATATAATATAATATAATATAATATAATATAATATAATATAATATAATATAATATAATATAATATAATATAATATAATATAATATAATACAATACAATATAATATAATATAATATAATAAAATATAATATAATATAATATAATATAATATAATATAATATAATATAATATAATATAATATAATATAATATAATATAATATAATATAATATAATATAATATAATATAATATAATATAATATAATAAAATATAATATAATATAATATAATATAATATAATATAATATAATATAATATAATATAATATAATATAATATACATACATACATACGTACATACATACATACATAGATAGATAGCTAGATAGATAGATAGATAGATAGATAGATATATATATATATATATGTATGTATATATATATATATATGTGACTGCAAATCTCATGTATTATAGAGTATGTGCTATATGTAATACCAGTATGTATGTCATGTTGCCACCACGGCCACTATGCTGGGCAAGACGCTCTTCCATGCGTGACCAAACCAAAGGCAGCTTCCAAATCTGCTCGAGGATGGTCGCCATCGGAACTGCCATGAGCCATGAGCGCTGTCTGATGCAATTCTTCCTGTCGCCTTGATTCCGAAAGTCTCGAAATACTTCAGATGGCCTGGTCCGAGGGCATAGCCGAACTTGAGATGAGAGAAGTTGCGGCACTCCAGCGACGAAGATGGCTCTGTGCTCAGATGTGTCATCGATGGGCAGCAACAGAAAGCTGGCAACCTCCATGCAAGACCTTCGTGACGTCGCGGCACTCCACTTGGTGCATGCCGAGTTACAGTCCCACGGTACACAAGCATGCGTTTCAGAGAGGTGCCAGAGATTGCCAGGTTTAGCACATGTGTGGGTTGCCCATAGAAAGCTGAAGTTGCCATGCCTGTTCCAATGCTCGAAGACATTGCCTAGGTCTGGACAAACTGCACACGAATTGCACCTGAGAATGTAGGAACACCTATGATAACACAATACTTTGCAGGCTTTACAGTGTCGGGAGTTTCCGAAATTCAAGGTACCTTGTACCTTATTTTGGGGACCTGATAGAAAGGATCCTACTATTAGGGCACTAGATTAGGGTCCCCTATTTTCGGAAACTCTCAAAAATGTCTTTCTTCTGATGTCACACGGTAAAAGCAACCCTGTGGTCTTCCGTCATGATGTCACAGCTCGCAACAGCCACCCAAGAATTTCACCAAAGCCAGCTCTGCATTTTGGGGTTTAGGGTAGCATTCTGACGCTGACTCCTAGCATGGCAGAAATGCCCGTGAGTGAACTCCATGGCGCTGTAAAGGATCCGTGCCCGTTCTCCCATGTGATCTTCCCATGCACCTAGCCGGGAACCACCGGCTCTTGAGGTCCAAGCCAAACATCACCTAGGCCTAGAACTGCTACCAAAAGGGTACCACATCCCCTGTAGCAAAACCTCAGCTCCGAGGCTAGGCATACATGCAAAGCAACCATTTCCAGACCAATTCGCCAGCCAAAACCTACACTGTATCTGCATTCTTCAGCCACGAGCATCGCGTCTGAAAGCACTACATCGCCCTTGCCCGACCAAGTACTTCACATTAAAGCCGGGGCAGCCCCACGTCCTCTACTTGAACGAGGGCATGCTACCGTGCGATGTCTGCCGGCTATGCACAACGCCTCGCCGTATCAGATGATTCACCAAGCTCATATGCCACAAACTTGATTCTTCTCCGCTCCGATGGTTTGTGCCTCGATTCCCATCCCCGGGCCCCATACGCCCCGCCGTTTCTGTCGAATAGTTCGTGAAAGTATCGGCATTGCATATCGTTCCTGTCGTATCAACAGTGCATTGATTTATGTCATATTGCAAGCTTACAGCAAGACTTCGCAACGGTCCTCGTGAGGTGAACATGCATCTGGTCGTGACATGGAGCTGGCCCAAGACATCCCCAAGCACAGCTCCTTCGCGACCAGAACAACACGACATTGCGTGGGAGAGCACCATGGAAAGGATGCCTGGAATCCTGGAAAGCTTGACGTAGTTGTTGTTGCCAAATTGTGGCCGCATCCTGCACATTTCCCAGCCTATAACCAACAACGGGCACATCAGTCGCTGGCGACGTTACCATGCATGATCTTCGTGTGTTTACTCCACGTGATCTGCACCGGACTGTGTAGTACAGGTAGAACATCTCGATATCGCAATGTTGAAACTACCTTCAACGTCTGCGACAGACCGGACAAATCTTACTCGGCCGGTGACTTGCAAATACAAGGTCCAACACAATCTATGTCGGCTGCTTTCACTTTGGTTCAAGCCCTCCAAAACCACGTCTGCTGCCTTCACACGATCCAGGGCCCCGGAGGGCAGAATCACACAGTTCAAAGGGGTGAAAATGTGAAGAATCCACTTGGTACCTGCCATGTGCATTGTGTTCGCGCAGGTACAGCATCTGCCCCAAATTTTTGTGGGGCACCCCTCTTCGTTGAGAATGCAACTCACCGAATGGACTCGGGAACGCGGCAATGTACGAGAACAGCATGCCATGTGACGAGCGGACAACCCATAAAGTTAGGCTGAACGTGCCAAATGCCAAACCCCTTCGCACGACTCGCTGGATTTGACACCTCAAACCCGCAAGGTCTCCAAAAAGACTTCGTGTCAAAACCAACGATCGGCCTGGGATGTAATGGGTGTCGGTCGATCTGTGACAGAAGCCAAACTCAGCTGACTGCCATCAACTGCTAGCACAGTCCAAAATAATTCATATCTGCTGCTGTTGCTGTCACTTCGACTTAGCCAATTCAAAATCACGTCTGCGACTGTCACATGATCTCTGGCCCCGGAAGGCAACGTAACAGAGCGTCGCGGGTGCGAACTGCTCGTCCCATTTTTGCGGCAGGCTCACGGCAATACGTGCGGTGGCTGAAAACTGCAGAAGGATAGCCACACATGCAATAAATACCCGTTGCAATTAAAGCCAGGGTGATTCAAAGACCTGGAGCCCACAGTTCAATAATATTTTTCTTTCGGTTTTACACCAAACACTGTGTTAGAAGTTAGAAGAGGATGCAATGACTGCTCTGCAAAGTTTCTTTTTCTTTTCATTGTGCGATAAGAACAAGGCGTGCAACTCGCACTGGCTGAATTCCTGACAACTTCCATGCACGTCACGCTACGAATGGCAACTGCGTGTGAGCTCCTCGTAGTCTTCTGCCCACAACAACGACTTGCGGGGATGCAATGCTCTTATTAGCAATCGCACTTACACAGCTCTTGAACACCATGCCATGGGATGAACTGCACAACACGAAAACCCCATAAAGTCTGTTTGACAGGTCCCAGAACCTTTCGGTAGGATTTGCTGGACTTGATACGTCGTACTGGGTTGATTGCTCGGACTGTAATGTACTGGGTCGCCTTGCGGTCCGTTACAACTGTCAAACCCATCCATTTGCCACTCGTAACGGTCCAGCACAGCTCATATTTTTTTTCACGTTGGCCTAAGCCCCCAAAACCACGTCTGCTGCTTTCACAAGATCTAGGGCCCCGGAGGGCGAGTCAAAGACTTTTGCTTGCATCCAACATGGCTGTTAAGCTTCGGAAGCTGCAATGATCGTTCGGAAAACCAATGTTATGATATTTGGCATGTCGCACCAGTGGAACCAATGCCCTTAGAAGCTGCTGTGTCAATGCTCCTGCATGTAGTAAACTCCACAAATGCACACTACGAACAAAACTCAACCTTTCTGTGTCGGAGCCCTCATGACTTCCCACGCAACCGAATACACCCGCGAGTTCCGAAGGCCATGTGATGAAGAAACCTCATGGATAAACTGTTGCAAAAAAAGAAGCCTTCGGGACTTGATCAGTTGCGTCGAACCCGCAAAATATGCTCTCACTCCTAAGCCCGCAAAACCACGTCTGCTGCTTCCACAAGATCTAGGGCCCCGGAGGGCGAGTCAAAGAATCTTGCTTGCATCCAACATGCCTGCTAAGCTTTGGAGGCTGCAGTGGGTGCTCGGAGATCCAACGTTATAGTCTTTGGCATGTCGCAGCCCTTGGAAGCTGTTGCGTCAATGCTCCTGCACGTTTGTAAACTCCACAAATGCACACTACGAACAAAACTCACCGCTTCTGTGTCGGAGCCCTCATGTCTTCCCACACAACCGAATACAGTTCCCAAGGCCATGCGGTGAAAAACCTCATGGATAAACTGTTGCATAAAGGAAGCCTTCGGGACTTGACTAGTTGCGTCGAACCCGCAAAATCTCAGACTAGAAATCCAAAGGGCGCGACAAGGACAACTTCAAACAACAACCATTAAACTAAACGCCCGGAACCTGACAGGTTTCGCTGAAATTTGTGAGATTTATCAAGCCCAACCATCGGCCAGGCGCTGTCTGCAAGCTCCAACACAGCTGATGTCTGCGCTCCCAAGTTGGCCCAGGCCCCCAAAACCACGTCTGCTGCTTTCACAAGATCTAGGGCCCCGGAGGGCGAATCACAAAATTTTGCTTGCATCCAACATGCCCGCTAAGCTTTGGAGGCTGCAGTGATTGTTGGGAAAGCCATGTTTTAATACTTGGCATGTCGCATTAGTTGAAGTAATGCCCTTGGAAGCTGCCGTGTCAATGCTCCTGCATGTTAGTAAGATCCACGAGTGCACACTACGAACAAAACTCACCGTTCCTGGGTTCTGCAGACGCAACCCAATACACCCCCGAGTTC